GGGTACTCTTTAGCTGTACTCGTCAGGCAGGTGTTGTTGTGTTTTCGCGGGCAGCTTTCAGCCCAGAAGTTTTGACTCTCTCGAGTTTTGCGAGAAGTTTTGCGTTTCTTTTACAGTCAGGTGGTTCGCCTGTGATAGTGCTAGCACGCGCCAGTCCGCACCTGTGTCGAGCCTGTCTGCTTTGAAAAAAAAGCGCTGAAAATTCTTTTACAGCGCGGCGCGGCGAGGGTGCAGAAACGGTGAGGCGATGAGCGGAGAGGAGGGATCGGAGCCGGATGCGGCGGCGGCCACTGGTGTGCAGGCGTGCGAGGAAGAGGCTCGAGGAGGAGAGGCCAAACGCGTCAAGCGAGCCCCAGCACAGCCATCGCGACCTCAGACGGCCGGTGGCGCGGCGGGGTCCAGCACGCTGGCAGACGATCTGACGGCGGACCTCTACAGCAACCTCGTCGACGTGCCGCAGCGGCCATCCGACTTCACGCTTCGCCGCTCGCTCGCCGCCGCTAAGGGCGAGCGTGAGGCGCTCGAGGCGGAGGTGCTGACGCTGAGGGAGGCGGTCGGCACGGCCAAAGAGCGGCTGCAGACCTCGGTGCGCTCCGCTTGCGTCATCCTCTGCACCGCCCGACGCGAGCTCCGGCGCAAAGGGGATCGACTCGCCGCTTTGCAGAAGCAGGGCGGTCGCAAGCCGCACAGCAGCACCGCGCCTGGGCTTGGATGCGTCGGCGCAGGGCCGGTGGTAGAGGGCAGAGGCTCTCGGCGCGCCTCGTCGAGCGGCGACGTGTGAGGACGCTAAATCAAATTTATGATACTGAGCATGCAGCAGCCCCCCACCGGCCCACACGCACTCAACACATCGCAGCGCGGAAGCGCCGGCCACACATTCCGGGTCTCGCTCTCCGTCTCCCCGCGCGCGCGCGGGGCGCGGACGGCGACCCCGCCGCGACCGACTGCTACGGCTACGCCAGACGACCTGCCAGACGGGAGCGCACAGGGGAGTAGGTTTTTTATGACGGCGTGAGCCGTGACGCAGGCCGGCGCACTCCCCCCCCCCCTCCCCCCCTAGGAAAGTAACAAACCCAAGCATCGCAGAGGCACCCAGCCACCCAACGCGCGCAGCGCGCCTCGGTGTCCTCCCGATGGGGCTGCGTGCACGATAACATCTCGACATGCACGGCCCTCAGCCGCTCCCTGGCACGATTCGGGCAACCGGACGATGGATCCATCAGCACCCGCTCGTGAGACGCAGCCGGGGCACCACGACTCCGCGAGAGAGCGTGAAAGCTGGACAGCGAGCAGCAGGAGGCACGCGCCAGGGTGTGCGGGCAGGGAGACGCGAGCTCGAGTGGGAGAGGGCCAGTCCCGCCCGTCCCCTGCATCGGTGGACGGCACTGCTTCGCCCCTCCCATGCCGCCGCCCGAGCTCGACTACCGCTTTCGCAAAGTGTAGTCGCTGCCGACACGGCCGCCGTGTAAGCCCGACCGCGCCGCCTGCAGGGCGCGCAGCCGAGCGAGCTTCTCGGTCGCTGACTCGGCCTTCGGCGCGTCGGCGTCGCCGCCCTCCTCCTCGAGCCGCTGCCGCTTCGCCTCCGGCTCCGGCGCCGCGCGGTCATTCGAGCGGTCGTGTGCCCGGTCGTGTGCCCGGTCGTGTGCCCGGTCGGGCTGCCGGAGCAGCTCCTCGTGCGGC